ATACCACCAATGCTCGAGAACCTCTTTGAGGGGTACACCAACTGCTCTGACCTCACCTTTGTCAAGTACATCAGCCGAAAGCAAGAAGCCTATGAAGACGGCACTATCGAGCAGCTCGAATATGGTGCGTTGATGAAGACGGCTCTCGAAAGGTACAAGATCATGGTCGACAAGAAGGTGTGGCTCAGGAAGACTGAAGAGCAACTCGAGATAATGACCTTGAAAGCTGAGATCGGATAACTCAAGAAAGGTCCCAAGCAGCAGAAAGGAAAGACAGCCACCGACGCCGACAAGATAAAAAGACTCCCAAGGCAGGCAAAGATAGACAAGTATCCCTGGAAACAGGGTCTGGTAAGTAGCAACCGGCCATACAGTCGGCGCTCGAGAAGCCGGTGAGAGCATGGCCAAAGGAGAATAACCGTTGGGGAAGCGAGTACACTTCTGCCCACACCACACAAACACCAAGTGGGTTGCTCAAAGGTTAACCGCGACAAGGGCATCGTCCACAGCACCGGATGCACCAAGATGAAGGAGGCACGTGAGGCGTCAGGACGTGCAACTGAGAACGTCGGCGACACGACAGCCCTGGCAAACGCCATCGAACCCGAAGAGAGGGGCTGTCGAAAGATGAAGAGCTCTGATGGTGGTGGAGTAGGGTCTCATTCGCAGTCACAATACTTTGTAATCACTATAGTGACCACTGTGTTTTCGCGTTTTATTCTCTGCTCTTAGCCATCATCGATGCAGTAGCATCTCTTCACCTAGCCAAGTCCCGGATGGTCCGTGCTCTCCTGCAAGTGGAACGAGGTCTTGATGAGGCAGCTAAGGATCAACAGGTGACCGGCATGATGTCATTAATGCTGGTCACAAACTTACATTCCGCGGCGTCGTGGGCGATTGACTTCAGTCAACACTGGGCGTCATGGTTCATCCTGGTCACGATCGTTGACCAACCAACGACTATCGCGATCCGTCTGGCCATTTCGGTGAAATCGGTCATTTTCGACTTGGTGTTCCTCATTTTTGCGGACACCCAATTCGGATCAGCTCTGTTGAGCATCACGCTGATCACCAAGTCCATGTTGGACTGGGCGATTAGTCCTCAGACGGCACCGCCATACGTACCGAAGAGGATCAGAAACGGACAATCAACCATCGTCAAGGCAATCAAGTCGACAGCAGTCGTTCTTGGGGGTGTTCTGACGAGCGTTAGCGCTATCGCGGTCCTCATCTACCAACTCACGGAATTATCCGTGAGGGAATCGGCCGACTTGACGGCCAACGTGACAAGGAACAGGGCGACTCAATCGAGTCACACCGATGACCCACTATGAATTCCAGGTAGGAACTCAGCTGGTAGGTGCACAAGAGCTGGGATGGAGAGCTCTGTGGTGGAGATCTCCTTCCACTGGCGCTGGAAAGGCCAGCAACAAGGCTGGCAGCCAATGCTATTCAATCACTGTGGAAGCAATGATTGAACAGTCTAATTGCTCAATACCCTGGCACTGGCCATACAGGATCCTGTCTACTGCAGAGCTCTACTTGTGCTGTTGGGTCTGTTCCTCAGGTCAACTACTTCTTCCATACTTCTTTAAACTATAACATGAACACAAAATCTGATTTTGCGTGAAACCCCATCCAGCCATGCAGGATACAGATCCATGCATCTCTTTTGGCTGGTATATACCAAGCTATCTTTCTAGATAGGTCATGGCTGAGGAACTGCATCATCCTTCCTTGCAGAGGAACTCTATGTCCTCTACAGCTGTTCCTATCTTGTCTGATGGTGACACAGCTCATTGTACTGAAAGAGTGTACAGATGCAGCAGCGATCTTTCCACCAGACTGAGCCAGCACAGCTGCGCCGCACCCATACTATGGCTCCTATGGCATAATCTCATCGACCCATTCCTTGACCAAGACGACGACGATCCAGATGGACCGTACACCAGCAAAGCGAGGAAGTACTCCAAGGGCTCCACTGGAGTTAGGATGCTTTGGGATATAGCCCCGCCACAGGACAGGTCGCAGCCAACCACCATGCAGCTCTTCATCAGGTTCTTGTTGCTGCTCAAAGGGGGGCTGGAGATAGCAATGATGGAAGGAAATCCGCTCGTGGCATATCAAGTGGTATTACTGTCGTTGTCGAGTCGGATCAATCGCAGCGCAGTGGATCACCAATACGATCCCGACTCCGTGCTGATAGCAATCGACAACTGCTCTTCGCGATGCATCACCAACTCCATGATGGACTTCATCGACACCCCAACCAAAGTTAGCGTGTCAGTTCAAGGGATAGGAGGCTCTGTGATGGCAACGTATAGAGGAACGGTGAGATGGGCGATTGAGGACGACCAAGGGAGGGTGCACAAATTCGTCATCCCAAACACGTACTTCAACGCGGCAACTCCATACCGCCTCTTGTCGCCGCAACACTGGTCAAGAGTCATGAACGACAACTCTCCGAACCAGAGAGGAACTTGGTGTGCGACCTATGAGGACGCCGTGGAGTTGTTCTGGAATCAGAGGGAGTTCAAGCGAGTCATCCCACTGTCTCCAACCAACAATATTGCCATCGTCAGGAGTGCACCAGCATTTGCCGTCCGTACTGCCTGAGTTGGCAGACGGTATGGTGGTCTTCGCACGAGTTGGTCCGGTCGAAAGGACGATGCATAGCGGGGACATCTGACGACGAGACCAGTGAATTGCATCGACTTGCACCCAGATGGTTTCGAGAGACAAGGGATTACAGGAACAAAGGATATACGATGGAGCTTCCAAGGTAGCCAGATACCCGCGACGGCCACCTTCGCGGACTTCTGGCTCTTGACTTGGGTGTTTAGAGCTTGCGGAACTGAGGAACCCTTCCAGCGATCTGGCAAGGCGCAATGTTCGGCAAGGCAACTAGGAGGCCATGGAGAACAAGGACTCCACCAAATCAGATACAGATCCCAGCTGCGACATCTCCAGGTGCCGTGGGTGGCAGTCGACCAGATGATCTCGTCAACAGCAGGTTTTATCGGCCAGATGAGAGGGATACTGACAAGGAAGCGATACACAGTGAGTACCGTCTTCATAGATCATTTCAGTGGACTATCGTATGTCCATTTCCAGACCTCCACGTCCGCAGAACAAACCATCTTGGCGAAGCAAGCGTTCGAGAGATATGCGAAGTCCTTCTCTGTGACAGTGAGGCTCTACCATGCAGACAATGGCATCTTCGACAGCAAGGAACCACTCCCACAGCCACAACAACCCACAAAGAGCAAGAAGACGCCGACAATGACGATCTCGTGCAGGAACGGCAAGGTCGTGCACCGGCCAACACGGGCGATGACCATGATCAACGACAGCCAACGCAGGAACAAGTACAGGCACCAACAGTGACTACGAGATCCGGTCGTGCGGTCAAGAAAGCCAATCGACTTATCGAAGAGATGGAATCATATGCGGCCATCCCATGGGAGGTCTTCCACGATGAGGGCTATTTGATTCAAGACGAGATGAGCGACCCGATAGCGTTTGCAGCGTCGACAAACCCAGACATCATGTACATTGATGGGGCGATGAAGGCACATGACCGAGTCCAATTTAGGGAGGCAATGGTCCAGGAGGTGAAGTCTCACACGGACTGGAGCCATTGGAAAGTCGTAAAGAAGACGACAATGCCGAAAGGGGCGCCATTGCTCCCCGCTGTATGGGCGTTCCGACGAAAGAGGCGCATTGCTACGCAAGAGATCTACAAATGGAAGGCGCGGCTGAACGTGCACAGTGGCAAGCAGACAAAGTTTGTCAACTATTGGGAGACCTACTCCCCAGTAGTGGGTTGGTCGACCATCAGGTCATTTCTGATCCTGATGCTCATCAACAAATGGAAGTCCAGGCAAGTGGATTTCGTCTTGGCCTTCCCTCAAGCCGACATAGAGTGCGAAATGCACATGGAGGTCCCTCAGGGATTCTACGTCGACACGACAACCAGCGAACCAAAGTTGAAGCAAGGGGACGGCACCAAAAGGTACCGAGGAGACTACTGCTTGTTACTGGAAAAGAACCTTTACGGTCAGAAACAGGCAGGACGTGTCTGGAATCAGTACATGCACGATGGGCTCATTGCTAAAGGATTTCATCAGAGCAACGTGGACATGTGTGTCTACTACAAGGGCACGGTGGTTTTGTTGGTATACGTCGACGACGGCATATTCATTGCTCCAACCGAGAAGGAAATCGAAGAGGCCTACCAATTGCTGTCCAAACCGTGCACTACGAAGGACGGCACAACTTTCAGAGCCCTCAACATGACAAATGAGGGGACGCTGTCTGACTACCTTGGGGTGAAGATCGAGCCCTTGGAGAACGGAACGATCAAATTGTCGCAGCCGCACTTGATCAAGCAAATCCTAGACGATCTGGGTATGTCCGCGGAAAAGACGAAGCCTCAACCAACTCCCGCAGCATCTACAGTGAGACTACACAGGGACCTACACGGAGAGGATCTCAAGCAAGAGTGGCACTATAGAAGCGTGATTGGCAAGCTGAACTTCCTGGAAAAGTCCACTCGGCTAGATATCGCGTATGCAGTTCACCAGTGCGCTCGATTCTCTGCAGAGCCAAAGGAGTCACATGCTGCGGCAGTGAAGAAGATAGGCCGTTATCTCGTCGGAACGGCCGACAAGGGCATCATTCTCAATCCACAATCCTGTTCTTTCGACGTGTTTGTGGACGCAGACTTCGTGGGAAACTGGAACAGAGCTACGGCGGATGTGGATCCAAGCACGGCAAGGTCAAGGACTGGCTATGTCATCCTCTATGGAGGATGTCCAGTGGTATGGGCGTCAAAGTTGCAGAAAGAGGTGGCTCTATCAACGACTGAAGCAGAGTACAATGCTATGTCGGAGTCACTACGTGACACAATCAACCTGATGCAACTCATAGAGGAGTCGCGAGACGTGCTGAAGTGGAGAACACACGACAAACCGCCAGTGGTGCACTGCAAGGTGTTCGAGGACAACAGTGGAGCCCTGGAAATGGCATTGTTGCCAAAGATGCGACCCAGGACGAAGCACATCAACGTGAAGATGCATCATTTCCGCGATCACGTCAGAACTGGCAAGGTAACAATACACAAGATTCCTAGTAGGTATCAGTTAGGAGATATGGCTACCAAGCCACAACCGGTCGAGTTGTTCGAGTTCCAAAGGGAGTGTATTATGCAGTGGTTAGCGGAGACAATGACGCGACAACAGCTATCGCAGCCAGGAAAGCATCTGAGGGCGTGTGAGATTGTGAGAGATCATAAGATCCTCAACAACCTGGAAGGTCAGCATGCTTCCAATCCTGCAAAGAAAGTATTGACCTCAACTGCCTGAAATGAATTATCAAGAGGTAACAGTTGGGGGAGGATTAGATAGTCTAAGGAGTAATAACTCACAATGTAGCACTCAAACCCTCAAGGATGTCATCAACAATAAAGGTGGAACAAATGCACTTTAATCGGAAACCCTTGGGAAAACCAAAGTTCAGGATGCCAAGGCATCCGTGGAAAGTGACAGACGTGCCATTCTCCACAAAGTGGCATCAGATGCGGGATATCAGGCACTCAACAATCAAGTAAACAATTTGTTACGTGGATGGATGCATGGTGTCCTACTCAGCTGTGGAAGCCTAGAGAAAACACCAATGATGAGGACTATGTGGACTTTTGCAACCAAATTGGGATTATCTTCGAACGTAACGGAGAGCACGAGGCATCCATGAAACTCCACAAGGCCGCTCTGCTATCTGTGAAACCATCTTGGATGAGAACCACCCAAAGACAGCACCACCTGTAACAACATTGGCCTTGTAATGATGAACGATGGGGACTTGAAAGGTGCTTTGTTGGAGTACAAGAAGGGGCTGCGTGTGTTGGAGTCGGTAACTCGCAAGGATCATCCCTCAGTGGCAACAATCTACAACAACATAGGTTGTGTTCTGGAAAGCATGGGTGACTATGAAGGTGCTTTGGCAAAGTACAATCAAGCCATTGCAAGCAGACTGTTGGTATTTGGCGAGGGTCATCCTGTGACTGCCAGCAGCTACAATAATATTGGGTGTGTTCTGGAGAAAATGGGTGACTACGAAGGGTCCTTATCCAAGCACAAACAAGCCCTTGCCATTGAAGAGTTCGTATTTGGCAAGAGTCATCCCAAGGTCGCAACAAGCTACAACAATATTGGTTCTGTTCTGGACAAGATGGGCGACTATGAAGGTGCTTTGATAAATCACAAGAAAGCTCTTGCTGTGCGCTTGTCAGTTTCTGGGAAGGATCATCCCGACACTGCCCGATCCCACAACCATATTGGTTGTGTACTGGAGGCGATGGGTGACTACAGGGGTGCACTGTCAATGTTGAAGGAAGCTCTTGCCAAGAGAATATCTGCTCTGGGTAAGAACCACCCATCAGTAGCAACCACCAACAACAATATAGGCTCTGTGCTGTATCACATGGGTGATTATGATGCGGCCTTGGTGAGATTTGAAGAGTGCCTTGCCATCAGGGAACACATATTAGGCCGGGACCATCCTTATACCAAGAGTTGTCTTAAGTGGATCGAAGAAACACGGGCACAAATGAAGATCCGAGAAACTTTATTTTAACAATACATTCTTCATCCACCAAGTCCGGCCAAGTTACACATAAACACTTTTGCTTTAGCCCCCGGTGGTACCTTTAGAATTTTCATTTCTGCCTTCGTGTGTCTGGTGTGTCTATCAATTGAGGTGTGTCATACAACAGAGGAACAACCAAAGCATTCACAGGCAATAGTAGTTCCATGTTCATCACGGTGTGACGCAGGGTGACTAAACCACCATTCTTGCTACCAAAGGCGTGGAGACCACTGAAAGCAGCACCACCACAACCATCACAGAGAGCTGGAAGGGCTGGATATCGGATTTCTGGCCTGTGCTGTATGAGGCAGGTTGGTCAGGAATGCCACCAAAAGTGCTCCAGGGTACTCCCGGCAGCTCTCCCGGCCTTACGCTGGAAGAGGCGTCTTCACCTTGAGTGGAGGTCCTACTAGCTACGATGGATTATGAGACGTACGCTCTGTCCACCGAGCTTTGCTAGCGAAGCAATCCCTGCTGCGTGATGCGTGATGGTGCCAAGGAGCCAGGGCTCAACAGATCTTCCTTTTTAAAAGTGTGAATGAAATCCACAATGATCTAAGATCCCACTAAAAGCAGTACTGTACGGTAAATCGGAAAGATCCGGATTGTAATCTCTGCATGGATCCAATGACCATGGTAACAGCGAGATCACAGTACTGTAGATCGAACAGGTTGCTCCTGGCCAAATTACGTGGAGGGTTTCGTGCAAACTCTCATGGGGCACCTGCGGAATGAAAATACTCACATGGAACCGTGGTACCATACGACGCACGACAGATCACAAACAACCCATCACAAAGAAAAGAGCCATCTAACTAATAAGGGACAACACAAATCTGGACGCTTTACCTTTTAGAATGGCTTGACAGCAACGTACATTAGACTCTTCCCTTTGTCTGCATGCTTTAGGTCGTTCCAAACTGAGGATTGTGCTTACCGGTGAAAATGGAGCTGGCTTGCTAGCTGCTACTCGTATCGAGTTACCAATGCCAGCCACTTGCTCGCTGTCGTCAACGGGTTGAAAGCGTCCTCTCAAGGTACAGTATGGCCAACTGTAGTTCTTGGCGTATACCAGTGGGGATAGGCTTTCAATGATGGTATTGAGTTCACTATCCATGCATGCCATAAAGTATCGACGAGCTGTGCAACAAGCAATGACAACCAATCCGAGGACAACGCAACAAGTCAAACGAGTTCGACATGTCTCGTTCAACGTGGACCCCGACGAGGAAGAGGCGAGATCGTTGCGCGGTCATCTGAGGCGGAAAGACAAGAAGGACCTGAGGCGCCTGCTCCAAGTGTTGCTGTCGAACCCGGCTACAGGGGAAGCCCCCACAATGACATTGGAGCAGAGAACTCTGCTGATGCAAGATGCCCTGAAAGCCCTCCTGCGCGTAGATTCCCATGACGCCTTGATGAGTCTCTACAATGGAGAAGGGGTCATTTTTCGCCAGGATCACGAAGAGAGCCTTCGTAGCTTTCCATTCATCTTGGATTCCTTCTTGAATGCGGCCGGGGCAACGACAGGAAGCACACCATCTGAGGATTGTACGAGAGTGGGGGATCGACTGCGATGGTTTCGACAAACACAATGCAATTACGACGACCTGATCAAGCAGGCAGGTGTCGAGCCCAGCCTATGGGCCCTCTGTCGCAACACGTGTTTTCGCCTCAAGTTTAGTAGTGGCTGTGTCGTTCTCGTGGCTGATGATGATGATGCAACTTCTGATACATCTTCGGGACAAGTGGAAAGTAATGAAGGGATCCAGGGGAGAGAAGAGGAGGAAAGAGAGAAACTGGAACCGAAGAAAAAGACCGAACACGGCACCTCGACCGAATCTTTTATGCTTGCAGTACCGAAGCAAGATGTTGGCACCGAGGGCGAATCAGCACCGTGCAGTGATCGCAAGGATGACAAAACGAAGCGGATGTTACCACAAGAAACAAAAAAACAGTCACCACCATCGCCCAAGAGGAGAAAACACTTGACTACTCTAGCTAGTTACCGGAAGCTCGTTCGTGTTTGGCAAAGCAGTTCCTTGCGGCCTCTGGTGCTTTTCCAAAGCAACCTCCATAAAAGTCACAAATAAAAAAGACAGTACCCATATTCTTGTATGTGTTTGCAACTGAGGGACGATTCTTTCCCAATACAGACCCTTCAATGGCAAGAAGAGATTCCTTGTACTTTGACAAAGCACTAGCCCCCCTCTAGATGTATTGCTCTCAAGCAACAAAAAGCATGAGAGAAAGTACAAACCTTTCACTGATCAGCCAGTTGCGCCTAGAGTCGATCATTCCTCCTCATGCAAGGCAAGGTACTCTTCAAACTTTAACAAAGCTACAGAACACGCCCCATACGGCTACACAGCACATGTATTAGGCCAAGACATCTGGTGCCATTCAGGGCCGATCAGTGCCAGCTCTTTGCAAGCGGTTGACAACCGTTGACAGTGGTAGCCAAAGAATGACAGGGGTAAACAGCGGCAAAGATAGTCTAGTGGTAAACAGTGGTAAAGATAGGGTAAACAGTGGTAGATACCGGTAGTGTCAACCATGGCACCACTGTTTGGTAGCGGTAAGCTTGCCAAAACCTTTGAAGACATTGCTGTGCAATGATTTCTCCATCCCCCCGGTCACAATTATGGCCATTCCCCTCATTTTTGTGACCGAACTGAAGCCACAATGACTCTGAATAGCAAGAAAGCGGAAGCACTCCTCGATGGCACCCCTACACAACTCACAACTCACAACTCACAACTCACAACTCACAACTCCAAACACAAACTCCAAACTACAATCACTCTGACAATCCATCCAACTGGTAGTAGTCTAGCTATTAGTATTCATCATGCCTCGTCCCAAAGCAGCTAAAGCCAGCAACCCGAAGCTCTCTGGTGCTTCATTTTCCAGCAGCACTTTTACCATTCGGGGCAAGGAAGGTCGGCTGCTCTTTTTCCTGTTGGTGGTGTGGGCCGCTGTGGTTCAACCGTGGAGTTTTGTGCGATCCCTTCCCCCATCCTCCTCTACCACGAGTAGTACTACTAGTAGTACGAGTGCCAATGAACCCCGATCTCTGTTGAAGAGTCCTTCAGTTTCGTCATCACAATCATCAGCATCCCAACAACAACAACCAGCATCACAAGAATCCCTCTTCAAACGAATAGCTCCACTCCATTTTCCCATGGACATGAAGACGGGCACCATTCAGTTTCCTCCTGATGTCACGTCGGTGATTATTGACATTGGAGCTCGTCAATCGGATTACTTGGGGACACTGGAAGTCAGTCCCGAAGAATCCTCCATTGCTCTTATCCTAATCGATCCCTTGCCCGAATCCATTGTCCCCTTGCAACATCGGGCCGCCTACTATGCCATACAAAATAGTCCTGGCAAAAAGCGAACCCCCGAAGATCCACTCGACGCTCAGAAACGCGATCGCGTCTTTGCCATTCACGCCGCCATGGGTCCAAACGAAGGAACGGCCGAATTCCAAAAAGCTGTCGCGGGATCGTGTGGATCGCTCTTGCCCAATACCAAAACGGGCGTTCAAGCACAATCCTGTATCGGGACCACGGGAACCATGACCGTCATGGTGTTTCCACTCAAAGATTTGTTGGATCTCATCCCTACGACAACTATCAAATCCATTCATCTCAAAGTCGATGCGGAAGGCGCCGATTTGCAAGTCTTAAAATCCGCCGGCGATTCGCTGAAAAAGGTATCGAGTGTCGTTATTGAATGTCAGGATTTGGAACCCAACGACAAACGCATCCTACGACAAGGAGCCTGTCTCTTGTCACAAGCCAAAGAGTACATGTGTCAAACGCAAACCTTTTGCAATACCAAAGCGGAAATTTCGGGAAAGGAAAATCGCATGGTCAATGCGTTCTTTACCAAACAATCAACAGCAGCAACGATTCATGTGCCATCTTTTTTGCAAAAATCGGGGATTCAATTTTCCAAGTGGTATCAATCCATTGCAGGAGTTGCGGTATCATGATTCGATTCTTTCGTCGTCCCCTAACAATATCGTACTCTACGGTACCTCCACTTGTCATTCACGGGTTGGTTGGTTTTATTAATTACTTGGAAAAGCAAACCAAGCAACATTGGACTTGGGGTATTCAAGCCAAAAAATTGGGGCAATCCTTCCTGTATGAGCAGAGTGTACGCCTCCTTATGCTTTGTTCGTGGCCCGTTCTCTATCTGTAATATGCACCTTTTACTTTTAAAAGACTTTGATTCTAATTTGTCTTTAGATTCGCCGACTACCATTGTAGCTGTAAGTGGGATGATTGGGAGTGCCATCGCTATTGGTATGTCCATGCATGGGTCATCTTGGTGATTGATGATGAGGGACAACAAGACCGTCCAAGGTGAGCGATACAATCCACGTTGATGCGAAGGAGTGTTCCCCATGACAGCAGCGTCTGACATGCACGTCTTTATATCTATGTGACATAACTAAGTCTATCGAAGCGACCAACCGTTGCAGAAAGATACCGGTACTCTCAAGCAGCCACCGTACGAATCGTTCGTGTATAGTCAAGCCAAATCGTACATCGTTCGAGTAAACTCAAGCCCAAAGAGGGAAACAACGTGCAAATCCTGTAGCGATCAATTGGTCCTCTAGCTAGCTTACACCAAGGCGGCTCGCTACAAAACCCAGTGCTTTGGGCGGCATCCAACCACACCATGTTGCCAACCACTTGAAATGGCGTGTGTATGGTACGACCCGACGTTGACTTCAGATATCCATCCAATTGCCGCGCCTCTACTATTGAGCAAGATCTAGAAGGCCATCTCCTTCTACATGCCCATCAAAGGTGCCCCATGGAATGGAACCTCCGGCAATCCAACCAAGTCGATCTTGTGAATGAAGTGATCAAGGAAGTCAAGAAAGCGCAGACTCATGACCGCTGCAGGAAGTCCCGTGCCACCAGGGACTTGACGGAGGCAGAGTATTGCAAGGTTGTCCATGAACTCTACAACAAAGCGACACTTGAAGCGAGCATCCGTACAACCTGCATGCTCAAACAAGTCCACCTCATCACCAGGACCGATGACATCTCCAGGCTGAAGTATTCGGACTACAAGCCGCATCCAGACTTCCATGTTACTTTTTCACGGGAAGCCGAATCGAACGAGGAGCTTCCCCTCTGAATCTGTCACTAAGAACAACAACACTGATAGCAACAAACACAACCAATCGGTCATACCTATACCATTACACTACCTATTAGCACCATTAGAAGCATTGAAACGAAGCGAAAGGACCTCAGGAAGCCTGTTTTCTGTTATCTTGTTGAAGAGTACTGTTTTACTATAGGATTCAACTCAACGTCATCACGGAAAACATACACCCTTTTTTCCTCTCTTTACAACCTATTCAAGCCGAAAGGATCGATACCTCCTATCTCCTATCAAGCACACCTCCTCTATCAAGCGACTATCAAAGCGGCCTTCTCCGGTTCAGATTAGAAAGCCATCCCAATTGAAATCCTACGAGATCGGGCGGGTTTTCTATTCTCGACCGCCGACGGCCAAGTTGGAAGAATTTGAACACAAGAAGACGTCACCGGCTTTCAGTAGACTCAGCAGTGCAAGTTTCCTCCATACCCTGCAGTGAACTGACATTGCTCTTACTACCGACGGCCCAAGAAATCCCATTGTCGGCCGATCCTCTTCTTCGAACGATCGATCCTCCTCCTCCACCAACAACAACCGGATCGGTTAACCTTAACCTTAAGGCAACTGACTCATTCGAATCTTCAATCGCGAATCGAATCGATCTTATCGAATCGAATCCACGACTCGCTACTCCGTGAATAGATCGATCTTCCCGCGAACGCACCTCTACTCCTCCGTACCTCCTCCTCCGTACGGATCCAACGACAGCCTTTTATCAAGAAGGACTTCACGAGATACCTGCAGTGACCGCCGAGAACAGAAACACTGCTGTATTTCTTACTTTCTCACCGGCCACTCTGGGTTTCCCCCGACGTCCTTGTTGGAACTTGATCCTACTGATCCAACCAGTCCTATCCCTATACAGACTGATTGACTGATCCACACCTGCTACTGTTACCACTCCTACATTGATATCTAACTCCTCTCCCAGAGGAACAACAAACAACAACAGAGTTCCTGTAAGGACTTGAGTTCAAGGGTACACCGGCTGCATATAGCCCTCTGCAGCCAGTCATCCTCCTCAGACTTTATCACCAGGCTTGGCTGCACTCTCATCGTTCGACAGCCCCTCCCTGAGATACACAGCTTCTCTCCAAAGGATCTCACCCCCACAAGGACAAACCACAAAAGCTGCCCCTCTAGCGTATCTGGCTAGATTGTGCAACACCTTCATTGAAACAGCCACCTCTCTGCTCCTGCCCCTGACCCTCCTACTGAGCTTAAGGAACTCCAAAGGATTGAGCCACAGACAGACCTGCAGCGTGGTGTGGCATAGATATTAATACATAACTGACTCTTTCTCTCTCTCATTGATTGTTGAGTGACTCTCCAGTGACTTTCCACAGTTCCACTTGAATCGAGTACCCTCTCCACATCTTGGCTTGACTCTCTGTTGCATCGGTCACTACAACAGATTGAGTACCAGCCTTTGAGACAACACAGTGTCATACAGTAACACAGCCCCATCAACCAACAACACCCCTTGATCCCCCCACCACTGCCTCTACTGGCTATAGCGTGACTTCTCCAGTTTTCCCTGAAAGAATCCCTAACAGCCTTTGGCTCTGATACCATCTTCTCCTGCAGGTAGTGGTATACCTGCACCAGACTTGGCCACAGCCTTTGATCCAGTGGCAACAACAACCCAACAACTTGATATAAACCTTGATTACCAGTGCCTCAGTGCATTGCCCCTTGAATAAACCCCTCTACATCAATCCTCTCGCCACCTCACAAGCAACCTCCATTGCTTGCGTTGAAGCAACGACACTACAGTCAATACTCCAGGATACACAACTCTCCCACCAACCCAACTACCACCCACCATGACTTCTCCATGTCTACCCACAACTCCACTCAAACCCAAAGTCCTCCCAGACATTCCCCCACTCCCACACTTCACCCAACCAACCACATCCACCATCCTCCGCAGACTACACAACACCACTCCCCAGATGATCAGCCAACAGGTCCTAGAGCATGCAGCCATCTTGAGGATCACACCCTTCCGAATCACACCCTACCCTATCAGGGAGGATGCCTTTATTCTCACCCTTGAACACAGGCACGTCTCTATCCTACAACACACCATCAATCATGCTACATCCCAACTCCTACAACAACACTCCAACACCAACAGGATCTCCCCTTCTTCCCCTGGCACCAGCCCACTCCCAGTGCCCCCTTATCCTCCTCCTATTGACTCAACAACCCCTCGAACAGCCCACAACACTCCAGCAGCCACTGTGCCTCCCTCCTGGGAACCACAGACTGCCAGTGTGTCATTTGACCCCATCTTCTGCCTGCTTGTTGGCCTCTATCTAACAATTTTTGTGCATTGGATGGGTTACACCCTGCTCTGGTCCAGCCTGAGGAGTACCACCTCCTACGGGCTCTGCTAGCATCTTGCCTTGCATGCCAAGGCACTTGCCACAGCTTGGGACCTGATCACCCAGACACACTTACTGGCGAGCACTCTTTGGTCTGGCAATCTATCTGGTCCTCCCGGCCCATTTGGTGATAATGGTTTCAATACCGACAAAATCCTGTGTAAGCCCCTGTAACCCAGGTTTTGCGCTGCAGGTTCCCTATCAATGTGCTCACCCCCCTACCCAGGGCATCTGTCTACTTGGTGCTGGCTCCACGTTGGGCCAGTGGATGAGGTCAAGTTGATTGGGCAAACAAGTAGATGACGACTCAGCTAGGTGGGGATCTACCCCACCACTTGCCCGCGTCAATAAAGTCACTCCGTGACCAATAGCTTGTTAAGCTAAATGAGTAATTTAACCCCGCATCCAGACTTCCATGTTGCGCTCAGTTGCAAGGTGCATGGGTCAAAGAATATTTCGGAAGAACGACAATGCCCCGACCAAATTATTGGGCCAACTTTTGTGCCATGCTCGGATTGGCTTTCTACATGGATGCATCCTTCAACTACGGGTATGACGCTGCTGGTCCTCTTTACCCCGGAAAGCGATCCCAAGTTGGCTCCCAAGCACAGAACGAAGCCTACCGTGGCATGCTCAATGCTGTCTTTTGTCAGCTCCTGGCTGTGGCGGTCCTCATTGCCGGTGTTCTTGGGAGCCACAGCATTAGGAAGTTCGCTGCAACTCTGGCAAGAGGATGGGTTATTCTCAGGAAGAAATTGACATCCGAGGTCCCTGGAAGGTTTGCTTGTCTGGACGAGTTGTTAATGTCTACATTTCACCTGAGCAGCCCTGAATCGACGTCCGTGTTGCCGACAAGCTTTGCATGGGGGCGACCATTGCCTATGTATACAAGGTTTATCCAGATGCCAAGCAGCTGACTCCCAAATGGTTAATCGAGCATGTGGTGCCTAGGACCCACAATTTCTATGGTGGCGTCAACGACATTCCCTGCACTTGGCTCTGCCTCTTTTGTGGGCTACCCTTGACGAATCTTGGGAGGAGAGGATGGGTCCTTTGGTTCATACTAGGATCGAAGATGCTTTTGAGTTCATCAAGGCTGATCTGCATGAGGGCGTCAATCCTGTGGTCAAAGTACCTCTCTCTCTATTTGGACGCACAACACCAAGCTCCACATCAACGAAATCGAGCCGATGGATACGGGTGGTGGCGGCACGGTTGGTGGCACTATGGGAACTGGCCAGGCAAACACTCATCAAGTTGCCAATGAGTCTCGGTGGTTTACGGCTGTGCAAACGCAGCAGCAGGTACGAACAAACCAGGAGATTCCGACACGGATTATCGCGCAGCACAACCAGCTCCAGCAGCTTATTGCGCAAGAAGGTAGGACCCGCGACAGTTCAGCTGCTGCGTTGAGAGGCTGGTTGGCGGCTTGGCTTGGCGCAGAGCTGAGGATCCTGAATGGCAACATACTATGCAGGTAAGTGTGGACTTGAGCATGTTGGCTATTGCATACATTGCTATTACTGCTGCTAACTCAGCATTTTGTTTGCTTTTTAGGATTGCTGTTCAGCCTCCTAGGATGGCAACTCCTGGCCAGGTACATGCTAACTTTTTAGAAATGGTTTGACTGTGGAAAGGACTCGTCGGAATGGTCAGACTAGCTAGCCTCAGGTACCGGTACAGAAGAGCTGTGGCTACTCCTGCTGACAGTAGGCCTGCCAACCTATCCAAAGAGGTGCTTTTCGTTATCTTTTAAAACAGTGAGTAGTACGGTAGAGGTGTGAGCCTCATTTCTTGCGACCAAGGCTGTGACCTCCTCTAGCTAGCTAATAGGAACGATGGAACGTAAAGGAAATTCTTTCACTTCACACACAATCGTTTCGCGCCAAATATAACGGGCCGTCGCGCCAAATTTTGAACTTTCATTCCACAGTTGCGGCCAGGTTATATTCTCTATGTAATTCTGTTCTACTGGCTGGCATTCCAATCCCCAGCATTCGATTGGTGATTGGCAGCACTGGCATCAATTCCTATCTCGTCATGTCAATTTGAGACAACATCTTTTCACCTCCGTCCCCCGTCCCCCTTACAGGATACCTGTAGCCAGCTCGGGATACCTGTAGCCAGTTAATCGTCAAGATCCAGATCCAAACTTGCCCACAAAAGAAAACTTTCCAATTCGTATCCACTATCGACCCCTTGGTAGAGCCCACTCCTCAGCCATGGCCTCGATCTCCGCTACCGCTGCCTCAGGTTTGCAGTCTATTAAAGTTGACTTCTACGGCTCTTCTTCGCAATCATGCCAGGCAAAGCATTCCTCGACCGCTTCAAAGATTCAACCGTTTTTAAATCAGCTCCCGCTCCAACTTGGTCTGCCTCTTATCAAGTACAACGATCTCACTGAGACAGGCGGCTCCTTTTCTGAGAATGAAGACGATGTAACAAAGTGGTAGTACGCTTTTTTCAAAGGCCAGCCCGATTATTGGATTAGCTTCAAGAAGTCGAATGGAGCTTCTTACTCCACTGGGACGCTCGAAAGATACATGCCCTCGATCAAGAACCAGTTGACGAAGAAGTTTGCGCTGTCAAGGTACCTGAAAGTTATCGAAGAAGCCCACTCCTCAGCCATGGCCTCTTTGAAAGCCAAGATCAAGGAGATGAAGAAATGCAACCCAGCGCCTCCGAAGAATAAGATCTATTCAAGTGAAGATCTTGCCTTTATCCTCCAGCATTCTTCGTGGATGAATCTTCCCAAGTACCTTGATTTTTTGTTTTTCCAAGCGGCTCTTCTTCGGCTTTGCAGCAGAGCTTCCGAGACCTCCCGCCTGAAGGTACAGAATCTCTCCGTCCGCGAAGTCTGTGAAGGAGGCCCCAAGACCAAAGTACTGCAAGCCTTCCTCATCAGGGATAAATGTGGAATTGATGGGATGATGCCGCTGGTCCCGAACAAAGTCAAGGTCTTCGGAGATATCGTTGTGGCTATTGGCTTGGCCTTGTTCATCCGAGACGATGATGATCTGATGCCAACGATTGCAGCCCTCGCAGGCGATTCCTCTGTGTCTTCTTACTACGGCAATATTTTGGATAGCATTTGGAAGCGCTATCATCCGGCAGAAGGTAGCACTGTTCGAAAGGGGACCAGCCACTGGGGCAAGCATACGGTGCAATTTCTCCTCGATGGTGCCAAGGAGCATATCGCAGCCCAGCTCTACGGTGGTTGGAACGTAGGCGAAGGAGCACGTGCTGAATACTTCAGTAATGCCTTTCCCTACCTTCATGACGGAGCGAAATGCATGGGAGGCTGGAGCAAGATTGCCGGCGAGTATCAGCACGTCGTGAACCCTTCCTACGAAGCTATTTCGAATGAGCTGGGTGACAAGATCCTTCACGTCTTTTTCGGGCACGTTGGATCTCTGAGCCTTCAAGTGAAGCAGATGATCCTCATGGCAACTCTTTCCAAGTGGACCCAGCTGCTGGACCAGATTTGCCTGGAGCCGAACGGAATGTTCAAGGATGTACGCAACCACTTCCTTGTTGCAACTCTCCACCAACGCCTTGCGAGAAATTGTATTGAACTGTCAGCGTTCAACCAGTTCGCCTCAGCCTGTGAAGATCTCTTCATGAAAACCAATAATACCGGTGATGATCCTGTTGTTGTACCTCCTCCCGTTGCCATTGCCCCATCCAAGCCATCAGCCGAGTACTCTGTCTCTCCCTTTCAGGCTGAGTTGAAGCTTCATCCGATCCAGGCTCTACTTGACCTTGTCACCAGGTACACAGATCCCAAGACTGTCTTTGTAAATTTCTTTGCATTGAAATTCATGGACTCGTATCGATCGACGCCAAAGATTTCCAATCGAGCGAAGTGTAAGTATTGCTACATCAAGGCTGCCGTCAGAGTCCTGGTCAGGTTCTCCGATTCATTTCCAGCAACCAAACCAACATTTGAAGAAGCCACTAATGCGCTCAACCGGATCAAGGCTGTCTTGTTGAGCCAAGCCTCTCGCGTCAAGACTCGAGGCAAACAATCTTTCAATGCTGCAACCCCGGTGCATCTCTCTACAATCGTGTCCAATGAACAGCTCCTTACCAATAAGAGCAAGCCTTGGTATCGTCTCTTGCCTGCCAACACTCCCTTTGACTTCCTAGAGCATGTTTATAGCCATAGGATCTACGAAGTTTAATCAGCCTTTTTCATTACGAGCAGATTAAAGAATTAAGGAACGCGATGTTCTTGAGCCTTTAAGTCACTTTCAAGGTACCCCAATTGTTTCTCCGCCCATCTGTCAGGTCGCTCTAAGAACATTTTCAGTTCGTCCGGTTTGTTTCGAAATGCCAAGAGAGCCTGTTTGTGGTGTTTGCATTCCAATGACCCACCTTCGATTTCGTTCAATCTACTCTTGATTCCGAAAAGTCGAATACGTCTATCCACGAGGGAAGCCAGTTCACCGTTCAACTCGTCTTCAATCTCCTCATCATGGTCGCCAGATAGAGCGACCATCGCAATAATTCTGCCAATCTTTGCAATTTGCTCCCTGCATCTAGCCTTCAGCTCGTTAAAGTCAGTCATGGTAAAAGCGAGCTTTCATCTCAGCTGGATCCATACCCGCCCATCATTATCCCTAATCCTAATGAAAAAAGGGGGACCGAGTTAGTGATAGCCCATTATTACCAGTACCTCGGTCCCCCGTCCCCCTTACCAACCACGAAAAGTTCTATAGTAAAATAGTACTTTTTGTCCGTACGTCGTCCGTCTTTACTTAAAGGTCAGGTTCCCCTGTCCCCTATCGACCCCAGACTAAAGACTTAACAACTTTTCTCAGAGATTTATTAGCCTCGCGGTGATTGAGCCGCTACAAACCAGCCACCGCGGCAATTGAGTGGTCCCCCCTATCGACCCCAATAACTAATGAGACGGGGGCCGCTACAACCTTAAACCTACAAACTCGATATTAGTGTAGATATTCGTTGTTGTTCGCTGTTTTCGCGCCGAATTTCGTTTAACGTAGTGCAACTAGCCATGCTCGCGTTTGGTATGTTTCAATAGATCAACCCCATGTCAGTCTCTTTTGCCGACCCCATAATTTTTCAAAATGGATTCTCGCAGCAAAGTTGTTCAATGGACTTTCACTATCCCCTCCTTCAACGATGAGGTAATCGACTGCCTCTCGAATGTATCAAAGTCGGATCTGGTGGCTTTCGTCGCGTTAGAAGGGTATATCAAGGCATCTCGTCGTTGTCGTGGGTCCGCTTTACTCCGTTTGATTGGTCCGGCGATTATCAGGACCTGTCCCCGTCCCTTTGACACCCTTATGGAGATCTATTTGTCTGACGATATCAAAGAATTTGGTGTGGACGATTTCTGTTGATTGCTAGTAATACTGCAGCTTATTGTGGAGTAATTTGGTTTTGGTTTAAGCTGTAAAGCAAAAGTGAGGATTTTCTGGTGGTGCATAGCAATTCTTGTGATTCAATTGGATATAAGGACCCCCACAACACTTTAGACCTAAAACTCCCTTGGTTCCTTGCATCATGAATATGCATGCGAACCGGACTAGATGTTTAATACAAGAGTCAATAATAACAGAGGTATCAGGAATATTTCCTCCAACACACTCCTGCACGGTGCCCTAATGGCTACCGTGGAACGAATAAATAATTTAGGAAATCAAACAAGGGGTGGATGCCCCATGATGAAAGCCCTGTGCTCATGAAAGAGCTTGCCCTGAAGGGGCTTCGTGAAAAAATCTCCACGCATCTCCAAAGATGGGCAATATACAACTCTAAGGTTGCCCTTTCCAATCTGGTCATGGATAAAAAAGAAACGTATGTTGATGGCCCGAGTCCTCTTGCCCGAACTGCTCTTGCCGTTCTCCGCAAGAATGATTGTGCTCTTGTTGTCCTGCCTGCATGAGGATGTTGTCCTTGACAACGATCCCCTGCTCTTCAAGGAACAGCTTGGCCCACAACATTGGAGACATGACGTCGTCTGCACCAATTAGCTCCGCTTCGGTGCTGCTTCTTGAGTTGAGCTTTTGTTTCGCGGACACAGAAAGCACCGCTCCACTTCCAAAGGACATGACGGCACCAGTATGCAAACGGTAATCAGGATGGACTGCAAAGCTTGCATCCACCCACCAAGTGATGATACGGATATCATCAACATGGAGTATCAACTTGTCCTCCACTGTTTGGTCCAGGAACTTCAATCCTTGAATCAACTTGCCCCAGTCATCAACTGTGGGACTCCTCACACGTGTGCAGAGAACAATTGTTAGTGTTTGCACATCTGGTCTTGCTCTCTTACACGCAAACAGCAGCTTGGCTGCATTGGTATGGTAAATTTCTCTGGTCTTGTCATCCAGAGTAGCTCCATCACCAGAACTGAATAAATCGGCAGGCACCGCGCTGGACACCTTCTTCATTTGTACGAAGTCCACCGGGAACTCCAAGATCATCTTCTTCAGATAGTCGATCATGTCAATGACTACCTTGCCTGGGTCGGAAAAGTCCACCGTCATCCCCAAGTAATCGTGCTTGGGACCACGGGTGCGTTGCCTTGACAGCTCCATAGGTTCCATACCTGTCATTGAACCATTCCAAAGTCCGGTCATTCACCAACTTCATTCTGTGGCTTGACATCAAATCATCAACATGGAATCAGATCATTTGCTGGTAGCCTTCGATCATCCGGTTGGCCACACAAGGATCGTATGGGTTAAACACAAATCCAATTTGCTCAAGGTCGCTTCTGAATAGCTTGTACCAAAGCAGTGCCGCCAACACCATGCCATAAATGGCTCTCTCCATGACAACATAGAGGACAGGACGTCCCTTTTTGTATGTCAGGAATGAAGCATAAGTGTTGTTATCAATTTCCACAAGTAGGTCTGCAAGGGTTCCCTCAATGATCATGAGGACCCTGTCTTCACCTGGCTTGACAACTGGCATTGGAGTTTGGATAAATGCATTGGGGACATCCAATGACATGACATCCCTGTCTTCTGAGGCATCAACACACATAGACAGCATCAGACCCTCAAGTGAAACTGTTGGGCTTCTGGCATCTTCTTTCTGATGGTACACCCTTGTAGGTTTCCCATTGAAGACTGCACGGGCCTTGACCGTGCCATCCCTTTTCTCAGTCACAAACATGAGTGCCATTTGTGCCTTCTTGAGTTCTGTCTCACTGCATTTGTTTGGGTCAATTGGGCTGAAGCAAACACGGCTATGGAGTTGATCCATTTCTTTGAGTGCAGCCTCTCTTGCTTTGTTGCCCCACACTTTCAGACCCTTGGGTAATTGGTGCTGTTGGGCATGGCTGCTCTCATCCTTGACTTCTGCTGTGGCACTCCTGTGATTACAGGAGTCCATGAATAATGCCAAGTGCTTGCTTGTCTCCGTCTCATAAAGTAGTGGCTGCTTCGCTTCATCATCTTGGACGAAGGTCGCTCCTTTCTTGTTTGCTTCGGCTGTGGCAATCCGAGCTGAGCGCCGCATTCCAACTCTAGGAAGCTTGGATGCTTTGTCTGGCCCAGCGAGGTTTCCATCATTGGTATCCACTGCTGGTGCCATCTCTTCGACTGTAGGGTTGTCTGGACTTGTGCTTGTTGGGATTCCTTGGAATCCCTCTTCTCCTTCTTCATCGGAATCAATGTCTGGGGCATACTGCTTGGATGCCCTTGGTACTAGCCCTGGGGCGTTCCCATCCTCAGAATCTTCATCTGATTCCTTGGATTCCACTGAGTCGTCGTCCGAAGAGTCTCCGTAGACTTGTAGATAGCTTTCATTTCCGTTGACACCATCCACTCCTGCAGCCAAACATATAGGCAAAAATTCCACATGGTCACGGTTGTGAAAGATGAGAGGTTTCTTTCCCTCACCGTATGCCTTGGTTTCGACAGCATCAATCACTGAATGAGGCATCGGCAAAATACGGACATGCTGGCGCGTGCTGACTTCAAAGGTGACAAGGTCCATTGCACTGTGCCCACCTTGGTGGTTGTCCATCAAGGGACGGAGATAAATGCAGTCCAATCTCCAGGGCTCCATGGAATTGAGCTTGTTGGAAGCAATACAGTAGCTCCCAAAAGTGCACTGAATATCTTTGTAGCTTGTGGTCCGACCCTCCAAGATCTGCCTGGGAGGATACACTTTGGAAATTCCATCAAGCGCGGGGAATAGGTTGAGTTTGCAATTTACATCATAGACCAATTCCACAATCATCACCTTGGGCATCACCAGGAACGGTGTTGCATGCCAGGCTGCGCGGGTGCTCTCCTTCAAGGTTCTGATGTTGCGCTCGGCAGGACCACTGTTGGTCTGAGCCGCTCCATGGTTGAGCTGGAGCTCCATGTCATTCTTGACTGGGTCCATCAAACTCTTGAATTCCAGGTCACACTGGATCTCTTTGATTTTGAAATCATTGTTCCCATACCGGTCAAAGATCTTGTCAATGGCGGCATAGAAGGATTTGCCTTCCCTGTTGGTAAGGTAGGCAGATTCTCGGTGTCGGATTTGAAGGTCAGTAAATGCAAGGAAAGCAATTTCACAAACATAGAAGACATCCATACATCCTGTCAAGAACCTGTGTGGTGCCACCAGCTCATCTGGAACAGTATAATGAATACTGGCGGTCACTGGTGGTGGGCGTCTGCGTGTAGTAGAGCCCTTGGCTTTGCCCATGTCGCTGTTGAAAATTAATTCGGCACGATCAATGTCTTCCAACTTGACGGGACAGTCTCGAATTTGCCCAGTCCGGATCATGTTCCGGTAGCCTTCCAAAGGCGGACGCTGAAGGTTGTGGTACAAATTTCTGGCTAGGAATGCACCCTTGGCTTGCTTCTTGGTGAACCCTTCGAGGTTGCCCTCAACGGTTTGAACCAAATGTTGAAACTCTGGAGCAAACTTGTTCATCTGGGACATCCGATCGAGTAGCTCGGACTCAATCTCCACTCCGTACAGACCTTTGACGGTCCTGCCATACCTCGTATGGATTCCAGTAGGACGGTAGCTAGTCTATGAAATCATGAAAAATCTTATCTATTCGGTGATAGTGGAGGGAATCTTTGTGGTATATAATCCCACAATTTATCACTCCCCCATTCCCGAACGCTATCTATGACAGCTCTGCAGGTTCTCGAGATGACTCCCGAGTTCGAGCAGTTGAGACAAGCCAGCACTAATTACACGTACTGGTGTGTATGCAGGTATTTTCTTACGCTTTAGCGCTGCCTGTACCAAGCGCTAGCCTTCTGGTTCACGGAAGGATCTTCGTTCTCGTACGTCAGTGGAAGGACTGACATCAGTGGAGGTACGTGTGCTCTAACTCGCGCGATTGCTCCCACAGGAACCTCGCGGAATTCCTGGGACTATGCTGGAACGATCTTACAAGCGATACGTTACGGTGTGAAGAATGGTGTTCTTCGAGCGAAATCCTGCACGGACGTATGCAGGGGAACTGACTGTCGATGTACTAGTACGAAGTAGGAATACTAGTTCTTCTCTTAACTCACGAACGCATTGGAGAGCCATCTGAAGTCTTAGACGTTGTTCTCTCTAGTGTTCTGT